CATCCCATCGAACCCATTCCCCCCTTCAGCTCGAAAGAGATACACCTACGTATAAATATACACGTACATACACGTATACGTATACATATACACATACACATACATATACACATACACATACATATACATACACAGATACGTAAATACATACATGCAGGTAGACTTACATGTAGACATACGGACATACACCCGTAGACATGCCACATACAAGCATATAAAACACGTACATGACACCACAAACACATATACAAAAACCGCATATGCACATATACACGTATCCATCATGTATACATGTATATACAAACGTATACACATACATACACAGACATTTCATGTAAAGAATTGTCACTCCAGGTCTTTGGGGCAGCATGCCACTCATCACGAGCAGGAAGCACTTCACACAACGACAGGTACATATAAACATACAAGAAACACAGATGTACAGAAACGTCCACATACATACATAAGTACATACATGCATACAGAATCATACACACATACTGAAACACATACCTGTAATCGATACAAGGATGCGTCCCTCACGTATACGTGTGCCTATATACATACGCACAGACATATACAATAGTAATACGCTCTTATACACATACTTTTTCACAGATTCTAAGTGATTGCTGCAGATCTTGCGTCCCAGCTGCGCTTCTGCAATTTGCTTTTCTCCGCATCGAAGGCATGCACGAGCGGCATGACAAGCCAACCAAACACCGCGCTGGACACAAGCAGTGTGATGCCACCGTAGAGATGGAGAAACCATCCTGCAGCCGAGTCTTGGTGACAGGCACTCACATGCATCACGGCAACGTGTTCACCATCAAAGCCCAGGCACCGATTGCAAGGCTAGGGTACGGATACCATGCGTTCTCACCCAAGTTGCTGAAGGCAATCCAAGTCACTACAGCCTGGGCCCGCTGGCAGACGATGCCCGTCAACAAAGTACCAACAAACATGAGCTCTTGATCATCGAAAACATTACAACGAAGCGTAAGGCCATTCGCGCTACATCGCAACGAAAAGCCGAGTTGCCCAAACTACATTCGACACAACTGAGATGAAGCCAGCAAACAGCAGGAGGCCATAAGCGCAACCACCTGCCAAGTGACGAAGTGCTCTTGCAGTCAAACGACTATGGATGTTCAGGCGTTCCACGACATTGACCTGCCTAATCTTTTCAAGCTTCCAAAAGATGCCATCAGGATCCCGAGGATCGCTAATATTATCCTTGATGCAGGTGCAAACTGGCTGCAGGAACAGCCGCAACCGTGATGGTTGAACTATTCACCGACCCTGTCTCATTACAGGAGCAAGCTGCGTCAGCATTGAAAGGAACAACACGGCCATGCTAACCTGGCACGCCAAGAAGTTGCAACAGCGTGCTGAGAATAGAATTTGCGATCCAGAAGCGGTCTGCATCCTGTCGTACTCGATGCATCGAGTATAGACGTGATTGGTGAATCCATCACCACACTGCTGCGACCTCAGTCTATGTCGAGAGATTAAACGCCGGTCGCGAGTTGCTTGCTCTAGGGGCAATCGAAACCGCTGACGGGTATCCTGTTTTCTTTTCTGGACCGAGATGCAATTGCACAGCCCATGTGCGCTTCCCTTTTTTGTGCCAGGTCCTAACCCCCCATTTCCACTTCCCTGAGGGTCTATTGCGTTACTATGCTTGCGTTTACCAAATCGCTCTCTGCCACTTTGGCTTTCGGGGCTTGTCCTGAATTGTGCCACTCCCGTCTCGTTCCAAAATGCAGGCAGGGGCTTTGCCACTTTCCTGAGGGATCCTGCTGTGCTTCAGGTGCTTCTGAGGGTCTGAGTTGCAGAGCTTGGGGTTGCCGGGTTTCCCCATCCTGCTGCTTGCCCGGCAGTTCTGACACGCCCGGACAGTACTGGCGGGACCTGCTGTGCTCGAGCTTCCAATCCTTGAAAACGCATTTTCCGTTCCCGCTCAATCCCCATGGGTTGTAAAACATGTTACACAATTTCCAAAACGAGTACCCTTGCAATGTTTACCGTGTGCGAAGATTCGCCGGTTCTGGATTGCAGGGCATCCTATGCCCAGCCTGCACACACGCGACGCAACATAGGCCAACTAAGAAAGTCTTGTACGAGCCAAGATGCCCGTCACAATCACCGTGCCAACCTTGCTGAATAATCGCACCAATCTGCGCAGCCGAGTCAAGGTCACGATAAGCAACTGCCACAAAATGCCACAAATCAGGTGCACATGTCCACCTGGGCACCCTTCAGACCTTGCCATTCCTGATCCAGCAGACGCAGCATTATAGGATGCTGCATGGAAGGCAAAGCCACGTCAGGCACAAAATATTTCAGCCAAAGCATCACAAGTCATCCGCACGATGACATCCCAAGATCTGGCGGACTTCGCGTACACCTCAACATGAGCAACATGCTATACTGAGGACTCGGCACACCTGATATAGTAGAAGCACAAGCGTTGCACACGTTGTCATGCATTGATTGAGCACATCGCCGTCATCAGTCCGTAGCTTTTGGATTCAAAGCCGCTGAATGACCAAACGTTTTCCAGCGGTCTTGTCCCGTGCTCGTCTAAACGCCATCGCGGAATCGCAGTTCCGACCATAACCAATGCAGTCCCAAATCCTCGATGGCACGTTCTAAATGCAATGTTTGCGAGCACCATGCTTCTGAGATGCCATGCCCGACAATCCATGTATGTCCATTTGCTGACCATGCCACCGCACATTGCCACGGCGGCATATTCAACTTTTTCAAAGATCTTTTTGACTCGTGTTGCCTGACACCGGCACGGTGCTGTGCAACACAGACTGTCGCACTGCTTCCTTTGCATCAAATCAAAGACAAGCCCCGGCACCCCCGAGTTCCACTTACACTTCTCCTCCACTTTGCAATCCAAGCAGCACATTTGCGAAGACACCCTCCGCAGCCCATGACCCCGCTTCCGCACGGCGAAATGCCGCATTTAACTTGCAACCGTCGAGCACATGCTGCGAGAACCAAGCCCAAATTCTCCTGTTGGATCCCGCTCTTTTCCCCTCTGTGCTCATGGACAAACACGGTCCGCGACCGACATGCGAAATGTACTCCTTGGACTCCTTATCGTGCCGCCGTCTTTTGCTTCTTAGTGTTGCTGCTCGTTGAACTGCTTGTGCGGAATCACGACACCCTGCGCTTGTCGCTGGCCTCTTCCGCTGCACGCAAGCACTGGGCAAGGAGCGGGCAATCCTCGCGCCTCGTCCTCGGAATTGGCAAAGCATCGGCAGGGTGCAACGAGCTCAGGGTATACACATGTGCACGGAGAACCACGAGCTGCCACGTGCGCCACCATGGCGCACCACGGCACCATGGTGCGCGTTGGCATGTGTGAGCACGCGCGAACAAGCGCAGGAAGGCCAGCGTGCTGCGACCGAAACGCCCGCCCCACTCAACCCGGAAGAGCGGGCGCACCGTAGTTCTGGGTATCCTTGCTGCTTGCTGTTCATGGCCTGCCTGCGGGCCGGGCCTGCCGCCGAAGGCTTACGATCGTGGTGTCAACCGCCATCTGAGCACCTTGCCAGATCGGGAATCCGTTGACGACGACCTCGATTCTGCGCCCCAATGCGGCCGGCATGTCGATGTTAAGAAAACGCAGGGCCACCACAACTCCTGCCTCGCGGAAAATGCGAGCAATTGCGCGTTCCCAACTGCACATTCTGGATCGCCGCGCCTGTTGCGTCCGCCTCCTTATACCGTCTACGAGGGGAGTAAACCGGGTTGCACATCTGGGAGCCAAAGCCCTAGCGTCCACGAGCTTTCGGTAAGTTTCGACGTGTGCGGCAGCGATCAAAGCATTCAGCTGCAACGATGGAGCGGTATGCTGCGCCCTCGCCTCATCCCTCCTCGACGCTTCCCGCCGACCCAGGGCCCTGCATAACCGTGTACAACCCGTCCTCGTCCGCCCAATGAAAAACGAAAATTGCAAATCGTCAGCACACCTGACTCCCTGGGCAAAGGCTTTGGATCGTGTTCCTCATGGTGTGCGACACGCCATCTCACCATCGACAATAAAATTAATGACAGTTGGCAGCTTATGATATTCCAAGGCACCAGGCAGGTTGTTTGGTATACGCCCAGTCCTGCTTTGAAAATTAGCTGTCCGTGTACAGGGAAGTAGTTCGTTTTTTGACATGAACGCGGTACCCGCAAAAACGTGCCGGACACATAGCTCCACCTCAATGCTCCTGCCGGCCCAGCTGCTTGTAGCAGCGGCCTTAACACGGCCAGTACCAAAGTAATATTTTTTGAGACGAAATTCGTTGGCATTTGGCATGCCAAATCGTGACCGAACCAATGCGGGCCGCCCCTCGCGAGTTCAGGGTACGTGACATCCACGGTGCATGGATGCGGGTGACCCTTTTTTCTTTCTCCGCACCTTTTTACGTCCGCCCAACGTGTCCGACCGTCGGTACCTACCTAGACGCCTACAGGGCACTAGCGAAGCGGCAGCCGGCTGGGGGCGGTCGCTATCGCGAGGACCAACACGTCACCCAGCGGGAGCGCGTCTGGCGCACCAGGCAGCGGCGGCATGGACCAGACCCCAAGCGCTTAGCTGGCAACGGCTCGCTGCAGGGCAACCGACAGCACACTCCACCAGCGGCGCGCCCAGCCCTGGGCCGCAGAGGCACGCAAAGGTGGTGGGGCGCATTGGACACGAAGCCGCAGGAACTGCTGGCACTCGTCACTCCAGCAGCCCCCGACTTCTGCTGCGAGGACTACGAGTCGTTGAGGTCCTCCTCGGGTCAACTCCGGGTGGCGCGCGACCTTGCGTCGGCGCGAAGCGCGCCGTTCCCGCCCGCGCATCAGCATTAAGGACGGGCGGCTCTGCGCGAGTAAGGGTGGAGACGAGGGTTGCATCGCAGCAGAAGGCTTCACCGTTACGGGCTGGAACGTAGACAACGAAGTCGAGGCGGCGACGGTCGTCGGCGTGCACCTGCGGCGCGGTTGTGCGCGACAGCCACTGTTGCGGCACGACCCGACCTTCCGGACCGACTGCCTCGCGAGCGACCTGAACCCATGCCCTGTCACTGACGAAACCACACCGGGGCAGCAGGCCCGTGCGGGGGCAGACAACGTGGTGGTCCCCGTATGCATCAACCTCAGCCCCACAGTGCCGTGAGGGGCAAGGCAGCCTAAGGTGGCGCCTCCTTGCCGAGAGCCACATACCCGCATGCGGACCGGACTGAGAGTGGAGGACGGCGCGAGCGGCCGGAGCCACGGAAGTAGCAGTCGCTGCCAACCTGGGTTTCCTAGGCCGAGTTCACCCTCAGCGACCGGCACATCGGCGCCTCGAGCGCAAGACGCCCAATCCGGTCTGCTCGTCCAGCCCTCCGCAGTGAGCTGGCGTGCAGCCTCCGCAACTGCACGCAGGCAAGGCGACGCAGGTTCGCCCTCAAGCTTCTGCACTAGCCGGGCTGCTGCGTCGGGGTTACGTTAGCGCGACACCGGGAGCGCGACTGCCCACGCCCTGCCCACGCCGCCCAATATGCTGCCGGTGAAACCCGCTCCGCAGCCACGAGACCGAGACCTCCCAGGCTCGGAGGCAAAACGAGCAGCAGCCCAGTCGTCTCCCTCGCCGGGTCCCTGGTCGCCGCCTTGGCTTTCAACGACCGCCCAGACCGCAATCGTCCCGGCATCGTCGTGACCGCGAGCGTACGGTAGGATGTCAGCTGGCGGCACGTTTCGGAGCAGGTGTTGTGCGCGAGGCGCCGCGCAGAAAGCAAGCAAGAGCCAGGCGCCCGATTTTGCGGAGTAAGTCGGCCTCGGCGTCAAGGGGTTAGCTGCTTGGGCTTGAACGGAGTCTGGGTGACTTCTGGGCACGCCGAGAGCGACGAATCCATGCTGCTCCGGGGGCAGGTTGCCGCTGCAGACGTCCGGGCCCAAGACGTCGACGCCGGGCGGCGCATCCCCTCCTGCTGCGTTGAGGACCCGCGTCTTGCCCAAGTTCGCTTCGACCCAGCACCTCGCTCTACTTCACCGGTGACGACCCGCAGGAGCGGCGCTGCGCGTTCCGGCGCAGTGGCGACGTACATGTCGTCCAAAAAAGCAGCAAGCCGCTCAGTCGGCCGCAAAGAAGCACTAGCGGCGACCAGCGAGTCGTGTTGGCCAAACGCGTAAAGTCCCGGCAACACCTTCAGCCTGCACGATCTCGTGCACTCGTCCCTCGTCGCCCCTTTCGCTTTCGCTTTCGCTTTCGCCCGTTCGAGTCATGGTGAGACACCACGGCAACGGTCCTATAAGGACATGGGGATGTTGGTGAGACATAAATCAAGATAACAGGATTCACAGCACCATAAAGTCTCTGACAAATTCGCGTT